CAAAAACCACACATTCGTTCTCATAAATGAATCCTAATTTTTATAAACATGTGTTTATGTGAGAATTACTGTGTTTGAGAGCCAGGAAGCTGGGGGCTTTAGTGGAAGACAGAACAAAGTAGTTGCACACATACGATAATGGTTATACTAGTGGTAACATGTTTAATAAGTGGGGGGGGGGAGGAACATGGAGGGAGATGAATAAATTGGGGGTCAACCAAATCAGAGAACAAATGAAAGAGCTATAAGCAAACCTGATACATAATACACATACTTTGAAACAATCTAAAGAGTCTTGCAGAGGTGCCTTGCATAAATAAATAAAGCTGTCCACACCAGGAAGTATTGGAAATGAAAGTCCCAGTGCCAGATTTGAGCTATTTCCTTAAGAGTTGTTGATCAGTAGGGCGTCAGTGGTGCATGCTTTAATCCCAGTACTTGGGGAGGCAGAGGCAGGCAGATCTCTGTGAGTTCTAGACCAGCCTGTTCTACAGAGAAGTTCCAGGACAGCCTCCAAAGCTACACAGAGAAACCCTGTCTCAAAAAAAAAAGAGTTGTTGATCAAGAAGGTTCCTGAGGTCCCCAAAATAATGCAGGTTATTGTTACTGCTTCTGATTGTCCTCTAGAACTAGAATGTAAGACCCTAATCCTGAAGATACCACCCACATCACTCACAAGAAGAGAGAGAAGACGAACTGGAAACTCCCTCCCTACTGGCTCATCCTCATGGTTTTAGAAAGTGCTACGCAGACTGCTAGGCTAACATTGTCTTCAACAGAGGTATTTAGCTGTGGACCGTACATTCTACACAACATGCCCACTGGTACAACAGTGGCAGGCCTGTTCTGGGTGCAATCAACCACTCCCTGATTGAATTTTTTTTTTCCCTGATTGAATTTGAGGCCTGCTCTGCCGAAGGGAATTCATGCCTGATCCTGTAAGCAAAATTCCACAGCTAAGGAAGGCATAAACTCAATTGGGGAAGCTACCGATGTTGTTCTAAAGGAACATGATGTGTCCATTAAATTGCCTTCTAAATAATTTCACTTACGCCCCTAAGTCAGGGCCACCATCAGTTTTGGCGAGAGCAGCTTATTTTTTTACAGTGGCCAGTGGCACCACAAAAGCTCATTCTGTCCCGAGTGCTGAGAATAACTTACTGTTCAAAGCCAGGCCATAAACAAAACCTCTGCACTATCTCTCCAAGGCTCAGTGAACATCTCTGAAAAAAAGATGTCGAAATGAAAGAAAGGCTGCAGTTCAAGGGAATGCTTTCTTCCAGGCATAAAGTGGTATTGCACGCCTGAACGCTCAACATCTGTGTTATCAACCTCTGTCAGAGGCAGAGAGAACCACGAGGTCCCATCCCCATCTGAGGTTGTAAATGAAGTTCATAGCTACTGAGTAGCTGGGATGAAGGAGATGTGGGGGATTTTCTTCAATAGTGTAACCATAGTAAAGTTATCAATGCTCCCACAAATAACCCCTTACCCATGCTCCAAAACATTACCCATTAAACAAAAAAGAAAAAGAAAAAAATGACAACAGAAGAGGGAAAAGAGGGAGAGGATCTGAGGCACAAGAAAAGGTTTGGGGTAAATATGATTGAAATATAGCATCTGTGTGAACGTGTCCTGTTATGAGTAGGTTTTTCCTGCCAATCGTTCTGGTCTCCAGCCACGCCAGCCCCAAATAATATACCGAGACTCTGTATTTGATATAAAGCTGTTGGCCAGTTACTAGTTTCTTATCAGCTAGCTCTGTCTTAAATATTAACCCATTTCTATTAATCTAAGTATTTCCATGTAGTCTCATCTTACCAGAGAGAGAGGCTGGCGTTCTTCTCTCCCCATCCTCCATCTTGGATTTCCTCCCTACTGCTTCCTCTCTCCTCCTTGTCCCCTAGTCCTGCCTATCTTGCTTTCCTATTGGCCAACAGTTCTTTATTCATTAACCAATATGAGAAACATATTTACAGAATGACATCTCCCATCAATGTCCAAAAAGTCATTTCTCAAAAAAAGTAAATAAATATTAGTCATCCAAAACAAAATAATAACTTGAACTTTTACTGTCATGCACTTCTTTGTCCACACAGTGTGTACATTTTCGTATAGTTGAATTATAGTGAGTCAGTTTATCCCAGTGGTATGATGCACTATCATTACACAGGGGTCATACAATCAATCACCTGGAGATTACTGGATCTCCACTGAGCCTACAGGTGGTTAATGCCAAGACATGGTCCCTGCTCTTCATAAGGACTAGGCTGTGACTAAGGTGGCAACATTTGAACTGGTCAATTATAGGAGTCTTAACCCACTCACTTTAAAACAAAAGTTACCCAAGCACTTGCCCACAAGAGCCCTGTGCTGTGTTACCCTATCCTGACATGAAGAACACCTATGGCCTCTTTGTAAATTCATTTCTCATGTTATCTTCAAATGTAGTGTTGCGATGCATTCCAAGCAGTGCATACAGAAAGACAAGGGAAGTGAGATTTCCAAGAGAGAAAATACTTTTAGCCATACATTATGCTGATCTCAAAAGAGGAGGAGGAATTATTGCCTAGATTCCTAAGTTAGGTGACTAAGTAACAGTAGTAACATTACCAGAATCAGGTGAAATAGTTGGGTTCCCTTATGATGAGACAGCATTTTAAGCTGCAGAAGTTTCTTATTTACATATTCAAGCACAAACACTATGATGATAATATAATAGAATAAGATATGTTAAATGAATCCCCCTTTTAACTTTTTGGAGTGCAGAAAAATGAGATTTAGTCAACTGGCCACACTGGAAAGAGAAGCAAATAAAAAGATTAAAAGATACACACACACACATACATACACACACACACACACACACACACACACACACACACACACACACACTACTCAAGTTTGTCTTCCTTGGTGCATTCTGTTGCCTTATTTCTTATTTATGTATTTCCTAAATTTTAAGTGCCATATATCATAATGGCCACCTAATAAAAGTTAGAGGCAGGCCTGTAAGTAAAGAAAACACAAATAGCGCTCATGTGTTGTCATGGCTAGAATGTGTTCCCCAAAGGTTGTATATGATTGGTGTTTGGATATGGAGCCCATGAGAAATCATTAGACTATTGCGGTAAATAAGGGTCAGGATAAACAAATAGGCCGAATAGATGTTTATTCAGGGAGAAATAACTTACAACCTAGACAGATGAACACCAGGAAATTCAACCCGATCCTCTCCTGTCCGAGTCACGCCAGAAAGAGAGCCTTCCTGGCCCCCTCCGACCTCCTTCCTCAGGTCACCTCCGCCCATCGCTCCACCCCCCAATGGGCGTGGTCAGTGCTACATTAGACTGAGATGAGGTCATGAGGGTAGGAGCTTTACAATGGCCTCGGTGGCATATGAAGAAAAGAACTGATGATGAGGCAAGGAAGCCCTCTCTATATGTTCTTGGACCTCCCAGCCTCTGGAAACAAGCAAACCTCTATTCTGATGAATCACTTTGTCTCCTGTATTTTTGTTATAGATAAGAAAACAGATAAAGATAGCCAACTGCAAATCACTTTTAGGAAATTGTTTGAGTTTGCAGGTGAAATTTTACTCCACCTCACCTACTAGGGGAAAGATTTTTATTTTATTTTATTTTATTTTATATAACAAAGTCCAATTAAATGAAAACAAACATTTATACACAATATTTTGGAATTTGGGCGTCGTTCTTTCCAAACTACTTCCTGCTGGTAAGGGGTGCTGTCTTGGGGGATTCGAAGAAGATTCAGATATCCTGGCTGTAGTCTGTAGGGCTGTTTTGTGAGAGGGCAGAGAGGGTAAAAGGGAGGGAAGGAGGGAGGGAGGGAGGGAGGGAGGGAGGGAGGGAGGGAGGGAGGGAGGGAGGGAGGGAGGGAGAAGGAATAGGGGAAAGATTTTAAAGAAAAGAAGTCTGAGCCCTGAGTCTGGATGACTTAACATTTTCTCATTTTGTAGTTCACCTTCCTCAACCCAAGCAAGCTGAAATCTTCGACACACCAAATATCCTTTCACCTAGCAATGCTTTTCAGAGATAATGAGAAACAAAGCAGGCAACCCAATGATAAAAGTTTCCAACCACTGCCAGCCAGAGAAAGACACAAGGTGTTCATTTTCTCAATTACTGTAACGCTTATTTTCTTGTTGGATGGGCAAGCGCTTCTAAGAATACCTTGAGGGTAATTGTATATATCTTGGCATATACAGTGTGCCTGAAGCCCAGAGGATGGAGCTAGCAATTATATTTCACTGATTAATGTGCAGTCGTAAATTTACAAGCTTGATGGTCCAAAGAGGCTCCCTGCTACGAGAGATAATGAATAGGAAATTGTCAGAATAATTAGCTAAGTCAGACACTACAAATGTACCTGTAAGTTGAAAGTAACAAAAGTAACAAAAGAAAAAAAAAAGCCCATCAGCCCATCATCTACAGATTGAAATATATAGCTTAAGAGAAGAATATTCAAAATATTCCTTTCTATTCCTTCAGGCTTCATTTATTTCACTGGTCTTGGAGTCTGAAGAGAAACAGAGTTTGTTCTGAGACTCTCAGGTCCCTTCGTAGAGGCACGCTGTTCCACCAACAGCTGTTAGTCCTGCTACCCTCATGGTCAGTACTGTATGGAATATGCCTTCTCTAGAAAGGAGCCCCCTTCTGCTAGTCAAACAGCCTTCCTGGGAGAAAGAAAAGCAGACAATGATGGTCAAAATCAAGATGAAATGCCTGGCTCCCTTTGCAAAACAAGGCTCAAGCCAAAAGAGCCAATCTTCTTCAAAGCTTTTTGGAAGACATTGAACCCTTACACTGTGGTCAGGAGTCAGCCTCCTTTCTGACCCTGGCTCCTTCCTGAAGAACATCCCCTAGCCAGGCTTCAGCACAGGGCCTATAACAGGACTGATTCCTGGAGAATCCAGCCTGCAACAGGGTTGATCACACAACACTAAAAGAGCCTTCCAAAGAAATGGCCTGGAGATTGATCTAAGATGGTGACTGTGGAACCGGAAACCACCCCTACTACTAATCCCCCACCTGTGGAAGAGGAAAAAACAGAGTCTAATCAGGAGGTTGCCAACCCAGAGCACTATATCAAACACCCTCTACAGAACAGGTGGGCACTCTGGTTTTCTAAAAATGATAAAAGCAAAACTTGGCAAGCAAACCTTCGATTGATCTCTGTTGAAGTTTGGGCTCTATACAACCATATCCAGTTGTCTAGTAATTTAATGCCTGGCTGTGACCACTCACTTTTTAAGGATGGTATTGAGCCTATGTGGGAAAATGAGAAGAACAAACCGGGAGGACGATGGCTAATTACACTGAACAAACAGCAGAGACGAAGTGATCTCGATCGCTTTTGGCTAGAGACACTGCTGTACCTTATTGGAGAATCTTTTGATGACTACAGTGATGAGGTATGTGGAGCTGTTGTTAATGTTAGAGCTAAAGGTGATAAGATAGCAATATGGATGACTGAATGTGAAAACAGAGACACAGTCACACACATAGGGAGGGTATACAAGGAAAGGTTAGGACTTCCTCCAAAGATAGTGATTGGTTACCAGTCCCACGCAGACACAGCTACGAAGAGCGCCTCCACCACTAAAAATAGGTTTGTTGTTTAAGAAGACACCTGAGTATTCTCACAGGAGACTGTGTCACGAAATCGAGACTGGGAGCTGAACCAAAGCCTCGTCCAAGCAGAGTGGACTGCACTGAAGTTTGATTCCGTCTTTTGTTGCTAAGATATAAGAGAAGTCTCGTTCGCCTTTGTCTTGTACCTCTGTGTTCATTTCTTACCCACCCCCCAATTTTTGCTAGTGTGTCCACTATCCCAATCAAAGAATTACAGTATCTGTCACCCCCAAACTCGCAGATGTGTTCCTGGCCCGCACTGTAACAGCTGGTTAGAATTACCATGATACACACATTTGCCTTTCCACAGTATTCGAAAAAGAACTTGCATTTCTGTTACCTTAGCAGGAAAAGACCTGTTTCTGTTCCACTCCGTGCAGGAGCGTGTTTTTGCTGGTGAGAGTCTGAGTACAGTTTTCTAGCAACCTCATTTCCTTTCCCAGCATTCTCCTTGCTGTCCTCTTGCTGATGGCTGCTAGAGTTTAATTTATTTGCTTCCCTCCTTGATAACATTAGTGATTCTGATTTCAGTTTTTCATTTGTTTTGCTTTTGTTTTTTTCCACATGTAACATTGGTGAAGGATCCAGGAATATGACAGAAAGGTGGAATAAACATTAAATTTGTGCATTCTTTGGTAATTTTTTGTTTTTTGTAACTACAAAGCTTTGCTACAAATTTATGCATTTCATTCAAATCAGTGATCTATGTCTGTGTGATCCCTAAACATAATTGTGGACTATAAAAATGTAACACCATAATTACATTCCTATCTAGAATTAGTATGTCTGCTTTTGTATCTTTATGCTGTACTTTAACACTTTGTATTACTTAGGATATTTTGCTTTGGTTACAAATGGCTCAAGTAGAAAAGCAGTCCCATTCATATTAAGACAGTGTACAAAACTGTAAATAAAATGTGTACAGTGGGAAAAAAAGAAAAAAGAAAAGAAATATTAGATGACCCCCTTCAGTTCACTGTAACTGATATTTTGTGCAGGCTAGCTGTACAGACAAGAACCCCAAATCCATACTGAGATAAGTTTTTCCTTGAACTTTCTCCTTGAGCATTTGTTTAGCTTAGATGGCTGATTGGTTTGTTTGGTTTGGTTGGATGAATTTAAACACACAAAGACAAATGCTCAAAGGTGGATAAAGGCATTTCCTTTGGATTTTTCTCTAAAATAAAATGTGTGCATGATTTCTTCAAAATAAGCCAAAGGCAAAAGTACTAATTTAAAAAACCAGTAGTTGCAACTGAACTATGTGATTGTGTGTGTGTGTGTGTGTGTGTGTGTGTGTGTGTGTGTGTGTGTGTGTGTAGCTTGACTATAGAGTCAGGTGGACCCAAAGAAAGAATGAAAGAATTTACATATTGCTTAGGTTTGATGTCTCCTTCCTACTTACCAATATAATCATGACCATTACACGCTCAATTAAAGACCAAGAGAGGCAAACTGTATGGATGGTGTGTGGTACAGATTGGCCATTTTCAAGTGACAGGTGAGTATAGTTTCAAATGATGGGGTTAATCTACATTAAGCAGAAATTGAAAACCTGATGACCGTAAAGGATAAATTAGGGAGTGATTTTTTTTTCAAATGCTTCATTATAGGGCTTGTCAACTAGCTCATTATGAATATGCCCCCAAATTTTAAATACTCACTTACCTTCCATTCTATTTTTACATGTTTTAATATTTGAAGCTATCTTTTTATGCCATGTCAATAGTATAAGTTATACCACTCTTTTCATTTATTAGCCCTTTCTTGACCATCAGTCTCCGGTCACTTGTGAGCAGGGTACTTATGCACCCAAATCCTCAGTTTCCTCATTTATAACACAGAATTGAAGGTCACCAAGTGCTGTTGAGAAGATTAATAAGAACTGTGTGAGAAAATGCCTCTAGCATTCCCTATTGGTTATTTGTTGTCAGTGTGTAGTGTTTGACAAGAATTCCCATCTGGAGAATTTTTAAAAATGTATTCAAGTGATGGAATGATTTAAAACACATTCAAATCCCTTGGATCTTACATAGCTATATTCATTTTCACACAAAGAATATTTTTAGATGACCTAACTCTCCTGATAAATAATGCTATGGTTCAGAGCCTCTCACTCCCCCCTTCTTCAAAATAATATAAGACAAATAAAGAAAACTTTTGACAAGGTTAAGGTTATCTGTGTTAGTCTGTGGTACCTAAATGCAAACTGTTTCTTTTTCATTTTGGTGCTTATGGGGAGAATTGGGAACTAATGAGAAATGGCAATTGTCCCACTAAGTAAACAAGTATTTTGTAACACAAGAATTTAGTAAATGTGCAAGACCTCTTAAGCCATCGTTCTAGAAGAAACTCTGTATTTTGTTTAGGAAATAATTCTGACTTCTGGGGACATTTACTTTAAAGCTGAATTTGCTGAAAGCCTGGGGCACAGTTCTAAGACTGTCCCAAAGCACTGTAATGGGGCAATTAGTGCCTAATGATATAGAAGAAGGGTGCAGCACTAGTCTACATCAAATTGAAAGGAAGGTATCGCTTGAGCTGTTAAGACCACAAAGACCACAGAGGCATGCATTTCCCACTGTCAGCATTATAGTGTGTGTGTGTGTGTGTGTGTGTGTGTGTGTGTGTGTGTGTGTGTGTAGCAACAAAAACATTTTATCTAGAAACAACCCATAAATATTTAGAAAGAAATGTGTAAAAAGTTATTTAAAATAGCCCAATTTAGTGATTAATAGATTGATATTGAGTGAGCTTTCTTTTACCGATTTCTTAAGCTTTTTCCCTAGTTTTGTACCATCATCTTAGGGTTAAGTATGTTTGTAAGTTTTAGTTTTAAATTTTCACCAGCTTTTGACTTTTCTACTTTATGTAGTTGTAAAGTTTAGGAACTTTTGGAATGTCTTATGCAATGGTTTGAAAGAAAATGGCGCCCAAAGAGAATGGCACTATTAGGAGTTGTGGCTTTGTTGATGTAGGTGTGGTCTTGTTGAAGGAAGTATGTCACTGTGGGTGTGGGTTTTGAGGTCTCATATGTGCTTAAGTCACACTTTGCTTCCTGTTGCTGGCGGGATCAAGATGTAGCCTGTACAATACCTGCCTACGTGCCACCATATGTCACCATGATGAAAATGGAATAAATCTCTGAAAATGTAAGCCATTCCAATTAAATGTTTTTATTTTCTAAGAGTTGCTGTGACTGACAGCAAAATGTTGAGCTGCCTTGAGATAAGTTATCATTGCTCCAATGTCTCCATCCACATAGGCTTCATTTCAGTTATTTTGATTTATTGCCAGAGTTGCCTGTACTGAATTCAATGCCGGAATAATTCTTGGAATGATGAATTATAATATGGACTTCATTTTCTTGAAATATCACATGTTTTAATGGCCCAATTTTTCTGAGCAGGCAGTAGCATAATACATAGTTCTTGTATCAACCTTGTTAGGTTTTAGTGTCCAGTTAATCAGCTTAACACTAACCCAGGGTTTGCTGTGAATATAATTTGGACTCTTGGTTTGTGTCTGCTACTCAAGGTAAACCCTATAGTACATAAAAACAAAGAAGTTGTTTTTATGATAAAGAATCTGGAAAATACAACAAAATCAACATAATATCATCAGACATGCTGATGGTGCTTGGGTACAAGCGTCAAAAGGGGGGTTTTAATGATAAGACTTTAAAACAAAAAAGATAATGCAGTTTCTGTTGCTTCACTTTCTGAACTATAAATGCCTCCTTACTTTCATGTGATTCAGGGCTTCCTTAGCGGCAGCCACAAACCAAGAGTCCAGCAGTTCTGAAAGCCAACTACTGTATGTGGTTTTAACCACAGATCCTACATTTGTGAGAGTTCTTGGGCTCGAATAATTACTTGATTTGTGAGCTCTGGAAGGGTCTTTGAGTATTAAAAAGTGGAGTTCATAAGAAACCCTGTTCCTGTACACACAGTGAAGATGAAGCTGGGAACTGTTCACAGTGAAGTCTACACTGCTCTTTTTATTCAGGAGAGAGAAGTCTATCTTGTCAAAGTGTATAGCCCTGATTAAACATGACTTGAGGAAGGACAGATGTCACAGTCCGTGCTCCTGTTTAGTACCTGAGCAGACAGAGAGAGCTCCAGCCAGGAGGGAAGATTAAACAGTCTTCAAGACTCTAGCAGGCAGAAAATGAAAGGTTTTAATATGTTGTTTCTCATGGAATTTAGGAAGAAGGAGACAGTGACTGCCCTTTAAAGGGTTTAATACATCTTATAGAAGAGGGGTGTGTAAAAGCATTTTGGTTTGTGTCTTGGTGAGCTCTCCACTAAACATATTGTCTTTGTACTTTGTGCCAATAGTATTTGATTCTCTGATTGGACCTAAAATGTATAACCTCTGACTAATAGACTTTGGATAAGTAGAGGTGTCCTTGAAGACTTCTGAGGCATTGAGAGCCAGCCCAGTTTCCAAGCTTAAGGAATATAATTTGGCCAGGTGTTATACCTACAATGGAGACCTGAGGGCCTAGGCATAAGTAGTCTAGGTTTGGAAAGTAATCTAGGGTTTCACTTATATCATAACTAAGGAGATCTCCTACTTTCTTCCTGCAAGTTCAATTGTATTTGAAAGAAAATGATACCTGACTATAAGAGTCCCTCAAAGACTGATTCTGAGGTGACAAAACAAAAATGTAGTTATTATAAATACCCTTTAAAAGAGTGTTTATAACAGCTGGACAAAACAGCCCTACAGACTACAGCCAGGATATCTAAATCTTCTTCAAATCCCCCAAGACAGCGCCCCTTACCAGCAGGAAGTAGTTTGGAAAGAACGACGCCCAAATTCCCAAATATTGTGTATAAATGTTTGTTTTCATTTAATTTGACTTTGTTATATAAAATTAAATAAAATAAAAAAAATAACAAAAAAAAGAGTGTTTATAATCCTGTTGTTAAATCTCATAGTAGGGCTTCATCTGTTGGTGTCAGTTTTCTGGACTTTAGGTAACCAGAAAGTAGGATATGTTGGCAGTCCCAAATACCTTTCTGTTAGTGCCACATTGGCACAACTTACATAGATTGTGCTGCTAAGTTAAAACGCACTAAATTCTTATGGTTGGGTGCAGTAAGAAAAAGAAAATAGGAGAGGGGAAATGAGTTTTAAAGCCAGCATGCATTGTGTTAAGAAAGACAAGTGAACTGAGCTTCCTGGTAGCAAGATGATCAAACACCTAGAACTAGGCTCCTGTTAATGTAGTGTGAGCACAGACTTGGAATTTTAATAAAGTTCTAGAAGTGATCTTATTCACTCCAAGTAAAATCAGTGAGGCCACTCCAGATAAATATATGGAGGGTGAATTTTCTAACTAGGGAGCTGGTGATTTTTTTTTTTTTTTTTTTTTTTTTTTTTTTTGGTCAGGAGAAAAATACTAGGAAAGATTTTAAAAAATGGTGGAAAAGTTATAGGTGCCCAGGAGAGGGCTTGAATCAAGTGCTGGGGTCTTGAGTTTATGAGTCTTGGGGATTGTGTTTACACTACCAGGAGTCTTCTTGAAAAACAAGCACCCAACCCTGATACTCATTCCCGATACCTGATCCCTGAAGGGTTCACAACTGAAAGAGACTAGTGAATCCCATGCTAATGGAA